TCCCGCAGGCAGCGCCGGCCCTGCCAGCGGCGCGGGGGACGCGCCCGGGTGACAAAGGACTCCCAGGAACCTTTTCAAAGAGCCTTGGAAAGCCCCCGCGACGCCTCGTCCATCACCCCCTGGCATCCCGGAGTGCCCCGGCCCCTCCTGCCCCAGCCCGGCCCTGGCAGCACGGAGCGCAAGCAGATTTAGGATGAAAGAGCTCCTTTTTTTCCCCCAAAAGCAGCCACCCCCGCCCACCCTCGCCCTCTGCCAAGCGCCCGGAGCCAGACAGAGCAAGGCAGGGCCAAGGGTCACACTCTGACCCTCCACGTCCTGCTCCCCCCTCCCCTCCCACCGCTGCCTTCCCAGGAGATGCCAGAAAAGCAGGGAACGGCTCCAGAGCTGCCTGGAGACCTGGGCCAGCGAGTCCCAGCCCCCCACAGGCCCTCCCTGGGCTCTGGCCTCCTTTCCTGGGCTCTGATGGCCAGAAGAGACGCAGAGACTGCTGGACCCCATGAAGAGTGAGGAGGAAGAGCCCCCCAGACCTCTGAGTCCCCTCAAAACCAAGATCCCTGTGTCCCCCAAACCCACAAAGGTGCCACTCCTTCTGTGTCACCTCTGCAAGGTCCATGGTGGCACAAGGCTGGGGCTCCCCAGCCCCAAATGATGCCCAGGCTCCATGCCCAGGCCCTGGTGGCCCTTCCTGGGGTTCCCAAAAAGCAGAGCCCCCACTGCCCTCCCCTCAGCTCACTGAGAGGTGCCAGGTCCCCCAGGGCACGCTCCTCAGGCACCATCCCTGCTCCCAAGCCTGATGCCAGTGGGAAGAGGCACTGGGGCAGCCAGCGCCCCGCAGACGTTCCCACTGAATAATGCAAGGACCTGAATCAATATTTCAGCTCATTTTCAAACTTGGTGACACAAAACTGTCTCGGAACTCTTCTTTTTTGTTGTTGTTTTTTGTTTGTTTTTTTTTTCCCAGCTCAGCACTGTCTCATTTCACCTCCCGAGTTATTTTTAATGGGCAATCTGCATGAGACCGAATTTTGTGACATCCCCCTGCCTTTCATCACGGGCTGGATCCAGCTGGGTGACAACAAGCACTCGGCATCCCGGGCAGAAATGGAGCTGGGGAATGGCTGAGCCTTGGCAGAATCCATCCCTGGCGTGTGGGAGGATGGGGATTTTGGGGCAGAGCGGGTCCATGAGAAGCAGTGAACATGGCAGGATCCCGGTACCCCTCCATCTCCCAGCCCCAGGGATTTGGGATTTGGGATTCAGGGCAGGCCCAGCCACACCCTGCACATTTGCCTATCCCAGCCCCAGACAGTGAATTCTCAAGAACCATCATTTGAATCAACTGGTTCTTCCAGCCCCAAGATCCCCGGGCTGGCACGGCGGCACGGCCGGATCCCCGGGCACCCCCGTGCCATGGGGCAGGCAGGGAGAGAGGGAGCAGCACCCCACAGCCACCCCTGAGCTGGTGGCAGCTGCCCCTGTGCCAGGAGCGTCCCAGTGCTGCCCAGTGCTCCCAGTCTGTGCCCCCACAGGGTGGAACCCCAGCACTGGGGCTGCTTCGGTCACCCACTGGGCAGAGCGGGCACCTCAGGGCTTGTCACCCTTGTGCCCACCCCCACCAGGGAGATTAAAGCCCAGCCCCGGGTTCTTCTTGGAGCGACAGGCAGGGACAGCCCGGCCAGGGCTCAGCAGGGTTCCCCCAGCACGGCCCCGATTCCCAAATCCCCAAATCCCCGTTTGCTCGGGCAGATCAAAGGAGATGCGGGCAGACCTCGGCAGACACAGATCAAAGCCCTTGACGGCCATTTGGCCCCAGTGAAGAATCAAATCGCAGCTCCGGTGCCTGGAGGCCCCACCCTGAGCAGATCCCCCCATCCTCCCTCCCCAGCGCCCCCAGAGCGGCGCCGGACCAGGAGCCCCTCGGCCAAGGTGGGTCCATCCCTGTCTTTGTTTCTGCTTCCCTGCCCTGCTCCTTCCCCGGGCTGGGACCGGGTCAGCAGCACGGCAGGCAGGGGGACACACGGAGCGCTGTCCCCTCCACACGGGGACACCAGCACGTCCCAGTGAGCGCAGACACGGAGCTGCTGATGGGCACCACAAAGGAGCAGCCCCAGCTCCATCGGCCGGCCGGGAATCCCCAACCTCCCCGGGCAAATTCCTCCCCGGAGTTCAGCCGAGGGCATTGTTCCACCGAGGAGCCATTCAGTCCTTAATGAAACCTTTTAATGTCACCCAAGCCGCGAGCTGGAGGCGCCCAGTCATCCCTTAACCCCGGAGCTGAGGGGATGAGCCGCCCGGGGCGAGCCTGGAGAGGACAAAGCCAGGGCAGAGCCAAAGCACCACCCTGCTCCTCGGCCACCAGAACCACATCCATCCCTCCCCTCCTCTCCCCATCCATCCCCAGGCTCCCTGAGGAGCTGTGGGGCACAGAGGTGACCCCAAGAGCAGCTCAGTCACCGCGGGGGAGCCCCGAGAACCCCCGGGGGGAGCCAACAAGGCGCTGCCTTACCTGCGACCCTGACGACAGCCCTCTCGGCCGGGTCCAGCACCGAATCCTGACTCTTCCTCTTCCTCTGCTCATGGAGGGGTAAATTCCAGGGCAAGGTGTCCCCGGGGGGGCAGGGGGAGAGGCTGCCCGAGCGCTCGCTGCGGTAGGAGCGCTCGCTCCGGCACGACCGCTCGCTCCGGCAGGAGCGCTCGCTGAGGGTCTCCTCGTCGGAGGACGACATGGCCCAGGGCAGGGGCAGGAGGGCGGGCAGGACGTCCCCGCGGGCAGCGGCGGCCTGCAGAAGGAGCAAACAGCGAGTGACACCGGGCCACCGGCCGCGGGGCCCTCCCCGCCACAGCTGCTGCTGCGGGTGGTGGAGAAGGGATCGCCCACCATGGGTGTCTCTGCCCTCTCGGCCAGGTGGATCAGCCCTCCTGGAGGTCCTGAATGCTGCCTCAGTTTCCCCCTTGCTGGGCTTCCCAGGGATGGGGACAGTGGCACGGCTGCCCCTCTAGCAGCAAAGCTCAGGCTGGCATCCCTGACTCGCTCCCACAAAGCCAAGTCCAACCTTTTGGGCTCGATTTCTTTGTGCTCGGCGCAAGAAGGAGCATGAGCTCGGCTCTGCCCTTTGTACCTGCAGGTTTTTCCCCTCTGACAACGGGGATGGCTTTAAAAATCTTATTAATCATGGCAGAGGAAGATGGTAGGGCTTTCTGGAGCACGCCGGGAGTGAGCTGTGCCGCGTACACACGCTGGGCAAATAAGCACCTTGCATGAGACATATTTAAAATAAATCTCATTGTGTCCTCTAGCACGGCCAGGAAAAATGCCTGAGACTCCTACAACCGATGTGCCGCGGCGCAGGAGCCGCCTCCATCACGCCGAGCCTTTCCTTATTCCCATCATTTAATCAGCAAAACAGGAACAAAGAGACCCAAAAAAACATTGAAAGAAACGGAGAAAGGATTCCATGAGTCATTCACCCCCCATTGAAAAGCTGCGAAAAAATGAATCGCGGCCCAAAACCCCGGTAGCCCCGAGGGGCTCAGCCCGCGCCCCGCTCTTGGGGGACCCACGGGTGCGGGGCCGGGGGGGCTGCGGGGCCGGGCGGGGATCGGTGCCCAGGGAGCGGCAGGGCCGGGGGCTGCGGGGGTTGGAGCCGGGTTTGCGGCACGGCCGGGGGGGCAGCAGGTGCGGGAGGCAGCGGGGAGCGGGCACGGCTCTGCGGGGGCACACGGGGCCGGTGTGGCCCCCCCCGGGTCCTGCTCCCACCTGGTCCTACCCTTCCTCCCGGTTCTCTCCCGTGCCCGCAGCTCCAGCCCAGCCCCGGCGGCTGCTGCCCCGTTTTCCCGGTCCGTCCCCATCCCCATCCGCCGCCCTTCCGCGCTCCATCCCCGCTGCATCCCCGCGTCCTGCCCTTCCCGCTCCATCCCCCGCTCTGACCCTGCGCTCTCCCGCTCCATCCCCGCTCCATCCGCCGCCTTTCCCCGGTCCCTCCCCGCTGCGCAGCCCCCTGCCCGCAGCCCCGGCTCCGCTCACCCCCCGCCGGCGCTCCGGTACCGACTCGGCGCGGGCAGGACGCGGCGCTCCGGTGCCGGCCCGGCCCCGCCGTGCGCTCCCGGTCCGGCCGCTCCCGGCCCCGCCGTGCGCTCCCGCCGCCGCGGCGCCTCCCCCGGCCCGGCCCGGCCCTGCCCACCGGGCGGCGGGGAGCGGCGGGGGGGTCCCGGCCGCCTCCCGCCCCGCACAGCCCCGGGGCCGGCCCCGCCGCCCGCCCCTGCGCCAGCACAACCGGCACCTCCACCCCGGGCACCCCCAGGCCGGCCTCGGGCAACCCCCTCGGGGCTCCCAGCCTGCGCCCTCCGACCTGCCCGGGCTCCCCAGAGCACCCCAAGGCCCGCTGCCTCCCCACCCTGCACCCCCATTGCACAGGGAGTCCCCCCCAAGCACCCAGCAGCTCCCCGCACCCCGCAGAGCCCCCCCGGCATCCTCGCAGCATCCCCGTTCCATCCTCATCCTCCGGCTCCCCCCAGGCCCGGGGGAATTGGAGCACCCATCGATCGGGGATCGGGGCCGGCAGCCGCAGCGGGGCATGGCGGGGGGACACGGGCTCGGGAAGGTCCCGAGGGCCGCGCCGGGAGAGCCGCGAGCTGCCCAGGGCCTCACCTGCGGGGCAGCCGCGCATCCCAGCCGCAGCCGAACGCGTCCCAGCGCCAGCCGCGGCGCGGGCAGGGACACCAGGAGCAGCCCGAAGGGGTGGCGGAGCTGCACGACAGCCCCGGCCGCCTGGCAGGAGTGAAGCAGGCTAAACCGCTCCGGCTGACGGCAGATCCAGCCGCCCCGCACCGACGGCGGCATCCCACGGGCGGCGGCGGCGGCTCCGTGCCACGGCCCCGGGCCAGCGCGGCCGCTCCCGCGGCGCCGCACGCGGCCCGGCCAAGCCCGGCGGCCCGGTCCCCCCGGGGTCTCGGCGCTCCCGAGCGCCCCGTGGGCATCTCTCCCCCGCCGGTTCTCAGATCTCATCCCAACAGCTCTGCTCCCCCGCCGCGTGTTTCCCCGAGTGCTTCCAGCCACGGGGTGGGACGCGGTGGAGGACACGGGGCGTGGGGTGTGGTGACAGCCGCTCCTGGACGCGGCTTGGGACGTGTTGCCCTGCGGCCCTGCCCGCTGGGGTGCAGGGATGGGGAGGAAGCACTCGGCCAAAACCGGCCCGGGTGTGGACACGCCGGTGGGGTGACTCCACAGATGCAAGGCCTCGAAGACACGAGGTCCAGTTGGGAATGCGGCTGTGAGCTCCGGGACCTGGCAACCCTGGTGGGCTGCAGACTGGTGCTGGGGACGTGCGGGCAGAGTAAAGGGTGTACTGGAAAAGGGTGTGCTTGTGGGCTGGCACCAGTCCCACCACGCCAACGACAGGGGACAGTGGCAGGGCCATCACCCTGGTGCCACCCTGGCGCTGCTTTCTGTGCACACCCTCGGAGCGTCCTGGTCACTGATGGATAAACGCGCTCAGGCGGGGGCTGCGGATCCCATCGTTACAGGGGACCCCAAAACCCGTGAGAGCTGTGGAGCAGGGGAGGCTCACCCCGGCAGCCCCAGAGGCGCTGGGAGAAGAAGGAGAGCGCCTGGAGAGGCAGACGCTGCCGCAGCGCCGTGCCCAAAGCTCCCGGACGGGTTGGGCGGCTCAGCCGCGTGTCTGCAGCGCTGCCGGCCCCGAGAGAGCGCGGCCGCGGCCGGCCCGGCCCCCGGCACACGCCGGGGCGATGCTGTGACACCCTCGGTCACCCCTGCTGCCCGCCTCGGTGACCGGGCACCGCTCCCCTCGGGACAGCACGCGGGGCTGACGGCCCGCCCGGCTGCGGGAAGCGCACGGTGACGCGTGCCTTTGTGTCACCAGGTGCCTTTGTCACCCCGTGTGTCACCAGCCGGGCTCCAGCCTCCTCCCTCCCGCTGCTCCGGGAGCAAAGGCAGCCAATTCCAGCCGTGCTGAGTCCCGGGGGAGCGCGGGCGGCTGGGAGACGGCGCCGGTTCCAGCCCGCGTGGATCTGACAGCCGGAACGCGCTTCCCGAAATCCCTGGAGCGCCGGGAGGCGCTGGATTATTTGTGCTGCGAATCTGGGTTAGGATCCTGCGTTGTTTTGCCTACGTGGAGACAGGGAATCGTTATTTCGGGAGGAAGGGGAGGCAGGTTCTCCCGAAATAATTTCATTTCCCTGTTCCTGCGCTGCTCAACAGGATTGAGGGGACCCCCGGGACCCCGAGTGCCGAGACCTTGGACATCCGCAGGGATGCAGGGAGATGTCTCCTGGTGCAAATCAGCCAGAACCTGGCTCTGCCCCCAGAACTGTCCCCTCTCCCTCATTAAAACCTCTGCCCAAGCCCAGGGCTGAAATCTGCCTTTTCCCTTGACTTTTGATAAATTATTCATTTCCTGAGAGTTGTTTGTTCCCCCTCTCCAAGGCAGAGAGGAGCTGCAGATGATGCGCAGCACATCCAGGGAGCTGCAGGAGGTGGGAGCTCAGCCCAATCCCAGAGCCCAACTCCCACTCCTGGGGGCTAAAGGTTGTAGGAAAATGGGAATGAGGGGCTGGGGGGAGGGATGGTGCTCTGCCCTCAGCAGCTCCTGGCCAGCCAGGGCTGTGTCCACGGCAGAAGCAGCTCCCCACGGAGATCTCCCACCCCCGGTGCCTCCCACCCAGCTGGGACGTGGCATCACCCCGTGCCAAAAAAGCGACAAAAAAGGCAAAGAGCAAAATATAAATTTGGAACTACTACAGGCTGGATATGGATCCTGTTCAGGCTTGGTGGTGAACCACACTGTGGAGCTGAGGATGCTCCAAATCCCTTTGCCCAGGGGAATTCAGTCAGGAGCATCGGATCCATTTTCGATCCCTGCTGCTCAGCCAGAGCCTTGGCCTCCTCCCAACAGAGCTGGGACGTGTTTTTATTTTAATCTCTCCGTAAATTTGATTGTTTTCATCACGTCTTTGATGATTCCCTTTATTGGTGCAATTCCTGACAGAGCTTTTAACTCGAGCAAATGGATCCTCCTGCCCATCGCCGGCACAATTGGATTTTGAACGGATCTAAGGAGCCACTCGGGAGCCAGGAGCGCTCGGATGCATCCCAAATATTTCCCCTGACATCTGGAGTGCTCCATGGGATGAGTCACTCTCCACACCAGTCAGCTGCCAGGACTTTTGCTGAGCCTGGTTTTATTTTTTCCTTCCTCTCCCTGGAAAAGCAACGCTTCTAACCAAAACAGGGGTTTTCCCCCCAAAACCAGCAATTCCTGGGAGTTTTGGCCCCTCCTGCTGGCGTGGCTCCGGGTGCCAGCAGCCCTCACGTCCAGCCTGGGAGGAAGTTGTGATGCCACTGGCAAAGCTCCACCAGAAAAGTCATCCCCAAAGTCTTCTCTGCACTCCTGGTGCCTCCAACAGTGCACATCTCTTTGGGAAAGGGGATTAATTAATTACCATCCATTAATGAGCGACTGCAAGTGTGAAGGCTCATGAAGATTTGACCTCCTGGCTGGCTCCACTTCCCAAATTTCCATCCATGGCTGAAATTCAGGGATTGGCCCTGGGGAGCTGTGCTTTGGTGAGGGATCAGTTCCTGGAATAGCTGAGCCCTGCTCAGACCTTCTGGGTACTCCATGTATCCTCATCCTCCATCCACAGCCCATCCCTTGCTCACTCCTCCTCCCCAAATCCCCCAGGAGAGCCCACTGAGGCTAAATCACTCCCATGGACAATCCACTGAGGATGAATCACTCCCGTGGACAATCCACTGAGGATAAATCACTCCTGTGGACAATCCACTGAGGCTAAATCACTCCCGTGGACAATCCACTGAGGATGAATCACTCCCGTGGACAACCCACTGAGGATAGATCACTCCCATGGACAATCCACTGAGAATAGATCACTCCAGGATTAAAAACGTGGATTAAAGCACTGAGCTGGGCACTCTCCACTTCCAGGGACTCTCCTGCTTCGGTGCTGCTCCAGAACTGAAGGGAAAAAACTCTCCTTGGCAGGGACAAACCCCCTGGGCTGTGCCAGGTCGTCCTGCTGGCATTTCAAAGCCCCCAGTGAGGAAATCTGCCTGCCACACACCGAAAAGATCCCAAATCCACCCTGAATCCTTGTGGAAAAGACAAAAAAAAAGACAAGAGACAGGCAAGGAGACATTGCAAAGGGATGTTTACTGCCCCAGCAGTGCCCGACCTGAGGCTGTTCCCCTCCAGCCACAGCAGGGCCCCTGCCCCGGGCTCTGGGAGTTTTCTTCCCAGAGGAATTCCAGCGGCAATCACGGCCTGGGCTCCTCCTTGCCCATGTGGTGCTCGGGGGGTGTGTACTTCCCCTGCTTGATCATCCGGTCCCGCTGCTCCAAGATGAGCCGGAGCCGCTGAGTCTGCCAGGGACACGGGGAGGGGTCTCAGGGGGTCCCCACGGCAGGTCCTGGCAGCCCCACAGCCGTGGAACCCACGCTAACCCCGCCCTGGGGATCCTCGCTCGGGTTTGAGGCTCCTCTCAAAGCCTTTGGGGCTTTCAGGGTGTTCTGTACTGATGGCATTTGGGTTCCTAACCCCGTGTTCTGAGCAGGGTTTTATCCTGGATGTTGTTGGGGGCAGGGAGAAAGCTCTGCTCGGTGCCGCCCCAAAAGCACGGAATGGTTTGGTTGGGAGGGAACTAACATCCCATCCAGTCCCAGCCCGGTGGGCAGGGACACCTTCCACTAATCAGCTTGCTGCAAGCTGGCCTGGAACACGTCCAGGAACGGGGCAGCCGCAATTTTATATTCCCCGAGCTCCAACAGTTTTATTTTCCCCGGGTTCCTGCAATTTATTTTCCCCGGACTCCCCAGTTTTATTTTCCCCAGGCTCCCACAGTTTTATTTCCTCCGGGCTCCCCAGTTTTATTTTCCCCGGACTCCCCAGTTTTATTTTTCCCAGGCTCCCACAGTTTTATTTTCCTCGGACTCCCCAGTTTTATCCCCCCCAGACTCCCCAGTTTTATCCCCCCAGACTCCCCAGTTTTATCCCCCCGGGCTCCCCCAGTTTTATCCCCCCGGGCTCCCACAGTTTTATCCCCCCGGACTCCCCCAGTTTTATCCCCCCGAGCTCCCGCAGCCCCGGGGGCAGGGGCAGACCCCTCCTCACACTGGGAAGGAGCAGCAGCGCTCCCACCCTGCGCTGCACCCCCAAACTCCCCTGCTCGCTGTCCCCAGCGCCCCGTGCCAGCACCCCGCGCCCCCCGCTCACCCACCAGCTTGGTGCGCTGCATGCACTCCATGAAATCCTCATATTCCAGCTGGCACTCGCGCCGGGCGCGGGTCTGGCCCAGCCCGTGCCCGCACTCCACCCACTCGCGCTCGAAGGCGTGGCACACCGCGGCCAGCCCGTGCGGCTGCGGCATGCTCTGCCGCAGCAGGAAGCTGTCCACATCGATGCCCAGCTGCTTCTGCAGGCCCCAGAACGGCATGGCGGCGCTGCTGCCGCGACACGGCCGCGGGCGCGATCCGACCCCGCCGCCCCTCACGGGCCCGTCCTTCGCCGGCCTTTCGCGACGCCCCTGCCGTCAAGCGCGGCCGGCGGCGCGACACCGCGGCGCGCTCGGCGGCTGGGCGGAGCCGGCGGGAGGCGCGGCCCCGCGGCGGCCCCGCAGCGCCCCCTGGCGGCGCGGAGGACCCGCCGCACGCCCAGCGCCCCCTGGCGGCCACGGTGCGCAAGGCGCTCCCAGTGCTCCCAGTGCCGTCCCAGTTTCCTCCCAGTGCCTCCCTCTGTCCTCATCTCAGTGCTCCCAGTTTCCTCCCAGTGCCATCCCAGTTTCCTCCCAGTGCCATCCCAGTTTCCTCCCAGTGCCTCCCTCTGTCCTCATCTCAGTGCTCCCAGTTTCCTCCCAGTGCCATCCCAGTTTCCTCCCAGTGCCCTCCCAGTGCCCTCCCAGTGCCATCCCAGTGCCATCCCAGTGCCATCCCAGTTTCCTCCCAGTGTCCTCCCAGTGCCATCCCAGTTTCCTCCCAGTGCCCTCCCAGTGCTCCCAGTGCCATCCCAGTTTCCTCCCAGTGCCCTCCCAGTTTCCTCCCAGTGCCCTCCCAGTTTCCTCCCAGTGTCCTCCCAGTGCCATCCCAGTTTCCTCCCAGTGCCCTCCCTCTGTCCTCATCTCAGTGCTCCCAGTGCCCTCCCAG